AATTGTTTAATCATTTCTTGGTTAATTTAAATCATTGATTATTATTTGATTACAAAATTTTGAATCATATATGATTCAAAAGCTATCTTACTTAAACATTATCACTGATAATCATTGGATTTCCGTTTTTTTTTTTTTTTTCAATATTAATAATAAATTAACAAAATATTCAATCAATTCTTTCCAATTCAGGAAGTATACTTTTAAATGGGGGCGGGGGGGGGGGGAAAAAAAGTGAAAGAAATATGTAAAGAAAGTTTTTTTTTTCGCTTTTGTATTTATTTGATTTCAATTAGGCCATTTTTGCTTTCATATTTGCCATGAAATATTCATTGATACAAATGATTCAAAGTTTTTTTTTTTAAAATTCATTGACCTAAAAATTAAATAATTTTTTCTTATAATTCTTAATTATGACTTTTTTCTGTACATATGTTAAAATATATTTGACACATGTAACTGATAAAATAGGTAAATTGAGCTTTTAAGGAATGTGAGAAAAAAATGAAAATGCTAAATGAGAATATTCCGCAGCAAAATAATATTTTTTTTTTTTTCAAAATTTCTCTCTTAATTAAATACTCTTTGTATTATTGCGGATGAGCAAAGAACTTCTATCAATGTTAAAATGTAAAATGATGTTTAGCATTGATGAAAACTTATATATCAGATCATTTACATTGATAATATGGTATGGTATCCAGAAGTATTTAAAAAGCAATAATCAACGATATCATTGATAATCATTAGACTTTCGTTTTCTTCTTCACTTTTCTTTTTTTTTTTTTTGTTAATTTAAAAGAAAAATTTATTTTACTTTTAAACGTTTTACTTTTACTTTCTTTTTACTTTAAAAGTAAAATAAATTTGATGAATTATGTATGAAATATAGATGGAAAATGGGAAATATGAAGTATAGTTTTATAAAATAATGATAATTGATTGAATAGAATTGAATAAATGCATTAATTATATTTCAATTAAAGTAAAACATTCCCAAATAGCGGTTATCATAATTCGTAGAAAAAAAAGGAATGAATATTTTTGGCCAAAAAGGAAGCTAATAAAAAAGAAAAAGAAAAAGAAATGCCACTTTTATACATAACTAAAATAACTTACTAATAAATAAATTTTCGAACTTAAAATTAAAAATGAAAAATTTTAATTACATAACAATCCTTAAAGATATGTTTCATCGTTTTTTCTTTTTTTTTTTTTAACCATTACTGCAATTTCATATTTTAATTCAAATTGAAAATTTAAGGAATACGATGATAACCCATGATAATGGTATACTGCGGCTATAGTTAATCAACTTAATGGTTAACAAAGCATCGAAACAAATTTGAAATTTAATATTTAAGAAAGATACCGAAGCAAATCATATAAAATACTTAAAAATAATGAGTTTTTGGGTTTGGACAAATAGTTAAAAGTGAATTTTATTCCTTCTCTTCCCATTCCTGCCCCGATTTTTATTGCCTTTAACAATTTGTGCTACCGCAATAATGACAAATGTTGAAAATTTGGTTAACATGAAAATGTAATTTATTTAATTTTATTTACCAAAAAATGTATGTAAGTGAAAAAAAAAAAAAAGAAAAACCATGAGAATAGTTGAATGACATATAAAAAATAAAAAAAAAAAATAGAAGAGATGAATGAGAGATAAATTAAGAGATGATCGATAACAAACTAAAAAAAATATAACCAAGATTACTGATTAAATAAATTAATGAATAAGTGATTTAAACGATCAAATTTTGAAAACAAAAAATCTTCCTAAAAAATTTGAAAAGAAAAAAAGAAAATTTTCGAACTAAAATTATATTTCTGATAATTTCATAATGAGAGGGGAAAAAAAAAGGGAGATATGTTTTTGAAGTTTTTATAATGACTAAATTCCAAAAATTATTTTGTATTAAATAAAGAAAAAACAAATTTCTTTCTTTTCATCGTTTTTTTTTCAAGATTACCTATCAGTTACCCATCTATCGTTATCTTCCGTTATCACGTATACTTCAACAATCATATAGATGCCGCATATCTTACGGTTATTTTTTTTAATTGATTCTCTTCCTGATTCTTCTCAAAACCTCTACTTTCGCCCACACACGTACGCGAATACGTGTACACATATATAACGTATCATCTTTATGTTAATATCATTCATGGATGTAAAACTGAAGGGAAATTATTCGTGTAACTTAAATTGTCAAAATTTTTAATTTGATATAATACGAACGAAGTAGAGAGAAAAGGAGGATGAAAAGGAGAGAAAGAGAGAGAGAGAGAGAGAGAGAGAGAGGAAGAAGAAGAAAGAA